GTCACGTTACGTCCCGCTCCGGCGGGAGGTCAGGGGGCAGCACGGGGGGATCGAGCACAGCACTGATGAACACACGAGCCCACACTGAGCAGCTGGGGCCTCTCCAGGCCTTGCTCCTGCCTGCAACCTCTGGATTCCACCTCTGAAATTCCATCGCTGCTCCCCGGCCAGCAGCTCCCGAATTTCTTAATTAAACCTGTCAAACACCGCTGCAGGAGCCTCCCACTCAATCGCCTCAGCTCAGGCTCAGCCACAGGGAACAAAGGCATCGCCCGTCCCGGCCGGCATCACCCGTTTCTTCCTCTGGGCTCCCCGCTGGCTGCGCTGCCGCATGGCCCATCAACCCATCAGTTCCAAACCCGGCTTTTACGGCACAGGGGAGGAAAAACGCCACAAAACGGCAGCAAGGCGCCTGTTTTCCCAGCTCCAGCCTCCACGTTTCGTGAGACTCGGGGCCGTGGGCGGGCAGATGTCGGTTTGCTCCCTGCGCGTGGGGGATCTTGTCCCCCTCGCCTCCCGGCTGGGACCTCCCGGCACCTGTGGAGGGAGATGGCCTGGGCTGAGGCTGGTGTCCCAGGCACGGTGCTGGCTCCGGGGCGTGCGGCCAGCCGACCTTCGGGGCAGGAAGGAAAGGAGGGAACGGGCAGGTGTTCTTCCGCTGCAGCGGGACAGGACAGAGTATCAGGGCCGAGATCTTCCCGGGAGGAAGGCTCCACCCTGGGGCCTCAGCTACCAGCGAAGGGAGGGCAGCAAAGCCAGCACAGAGCACAAAGTGTTTCACCAACAATAAGCCACGACTTTTATTAATGGATAGAAATAGTACAAATTTTAAATTTAGTTGCATTTTACTCTTCTCTGAAACACCAAAAAAGGCTCCTCCTCCCGCTGGCGGCTACATCGTCAACTCCTGCAGAGAGAAAGGCGCGTTAGGAGCCGGCCTCACCGGCGGCAGGGAATCCTGCAGCCCGGCCTGCGGCACACAGAGGACCCAGGACCGCAGTGGGAGGCAGGTCCCCCCCTGGGGCAGCGGGTGCTGCTCTGCCCCCCAGGGACGTCCCCCCGCAAGGCGCTCTCCCTCCTCGGCCAGGCGCACACTCACCATTATGGCATTTACAATATCGTTACTGTTGTTCTTCAGGGCACGGACTGCCTTTGCTCGGGACACGTTCGCCTGGGACATCACCAGCTCGATGTCTTTCACCTCGACGCCGGTTTCGTCAACCTAAAGGAGACAGAGCCCGGGATTCATGCCAGCCCCACGCAGAGTTTGCTCTGAGCCTGGCAGAGGAAAACGGGATTGTCTGGCTGGGGGCAAATCCCACTCGGGCCGCGCAGATGGAAGCTGGGAGGCAAGACCGGGCACTGCCCGGCACTGGGGACAGTCCCCCGGCAGCACCCAGGACCAGACCCGGACGAAGGAAAGGAAACCGCGGCCTCAACACAAACTCCGGATGTTTTGCGGCCGGCTCAGGCCCGCAGCGACAGGCTGGGGAAGGCGCACCTCTTCTTCCTCGCTCTCCTCCTGCACGGTGGGGGTCTGTGTGTTTTCCTGGATGTTTGAAACAGCTTCTCCTTGCACTTTGAACTTTTCGGCAGCTGCCAGCTGGGCCTGCTGGGACAGGTCTTCGATCTGGAGGAGGGAAGAAGCGCAAGTGAGGCCGGCCCTGCACAAAGCGGGAGTCGGCACACAGGCCGAGAGCCGCAGCGGTGCTCCCCGCGCTGCACCGTCCAACGGCTCTGCCGCACAACCCAGCCGGGAAGACGGCCCTTGGTGTGGACCCTGCACCCTGGGGGGGGCACACAGCAGCTGGGCCCCACGGGCGGCTGCCAGACACCGCACAGCTCACCTTCGCTTCGCCAAACACTATGTAGGTGTCTGACGCCGGGCTCTTGTACACGTCTGGCTTTGTGATGACAAAGAGGATGTTCTTGGATTTCCGGATGGTGACTCTGGTTACTCCCGTCACCTGGCGAAGGCCTAGTTTAGACATCGCCTGAAAAACATGAGAGGAGGGTGAGCGAGGGCAGGAAGAGCTACTGAGACAGCGTGGCCCCCCCAAAAGGTGCGTCCACTCCTCT